CTGGAGTGCAGTGGTGGTGCCAACTTGGCTCACTGTAACCTCTGCCTCTAAAGTTCAAGCGATTCTCCTGCCTCAGCCTCCTAAGTAGCTGGGACTACATCCGTGCGCCACCACGCCCAGCTAATTTTTGTATTTTTAGTAGAGACGGCGTTTCACCATGTTGGCCAGGATGGTTTCAATCTCCTGACCTCACGATCCACCCACCTCAGCCTCCCAAAGTGCTGGGACTGCAGGCGTGAGCCACCTCACCTGGCTTCTTTTGGCTTTCTGAATCATCCATCTCTCCCTGCTTCAAAATTTAGGCTGCTATTAGACTTCTTTGGAATGGAAAAAATACCTAACCTATGGGATTGTTGTTAGTATTAAGTGAAACAAAGATTGAAATGTTTGGCACATTTTAGGAACTCAAGTGGTGGAAATGTTATTCTGAGCCATAATGGTTGAAAGCAAACATTTTGGATAAGAGCCAATTTGAATTCTAATCATATTCAGCTTCTTACTGGCTCTGAGACTTTAGGTAGGTCACCTAACAGCTCTGAGCCTTAGATTTCTAATGGAGAAATCAGTTCCATCTCACTCCTAAGGCCATGAGTCAGAGATGACCAATTTGCATTTTGGTGTATTGTCTTCTGGTTATTTGAGTAGGCATATACATAACTTCTAAAAATTTAGCGACTGTCATGTTATATAGTTTTTACCCTTTTTTAACCTTAAACTCTTTGAAAGCATAATTTTCAACAGCTCCCATTTTTGTGTTAACTTCTAAAAGTTACCCTGCTAAATATTTTTTGTAAAAGTAAAATATTAATTGAAATCTACTTAATATATCAATTAATGACTATAGATGAAGCAAATGAATTCATTTCTATTGATTTTGAAATCTATACATTAAGGGTTGAATTGTGTCCCCCCAAAAAAAGATATTTTTGAGGTCCTAACCCCCTGTTCCTCAGAATGTGACCTTATTTGGAGATGGGCTCTTTACAGAGGTTATCAAGTTACAATGAGGTCACTGGGTGGGTCACATCCAATGTGACCAATATCCTTATGAAAGGGGCAAATTCAAACACAGTGCTAGACATACACGCACACAGGGAGACTGCCACTTGAACTTGAAGACAGAGGTCGGGGTGATGTAGCAGAAGCCAAGGAGCACCAGAGATTGCCTGCAAACCACCAGAAGCCAGTACAAGGCTTGGAACAGATTCTCCAAGACAGTCCTTAGAAAAAACCAACCTTGTCTGGGTGCAGTGACTCACACCTATAATCCCAGCACTTTGGGAGGCCGAGGCAGGTAGATCACAAGGTCAAGAGATTTATACCATCCTAGCCAACATGGTGAAATCCCGTCTCTACTAAAAATACAAAAAATTAGCTGGACGTGGTGGCATGTGCCTGTAGTCCTAGCTACACAGGAGGCTGAGGCAGGACAATTGCTTGAACCCGGGAGGTGGAGGTTAC